TCCGGTATATGGATGACAACTTTAGAGTTATCGACCGGGATCAATTACAGACATTCAAAGAACTTCTCAACGCTGTCCTCCCAGACGTCCACTTTACGATGGAGGAGGAAGAGAACAACCAGCTGGTCTTTCTGGATGTCCTCGTTTGCCGCGAAGACTGCGGTGTCCTAAAGACCAAAATGCTCAGAAAAGCGACAAGTACGAAGCAAGTCCCGAATTTCAACGGCAACCACCCAACCAGCCAGAAACGCAGTTGTGTAAGGCCGCTCTATCGGCGTGTCGAAACGCACTGCAGTGAGCCGGAAGACAAGATTGTCGAACTAAAATACCTCCGACAGGTCTTCAAAGCCAAAGGCTACCCGCGCAACTTCGTCAACCGGTGCATACGCAAACTGAACAAGGGCCAAGCCGCATGGTCACCAAATTTTTGTGAGCTCCTCCGTACGACAAGAACGTTTTGATGGTCGTCGGCCGCCTTCCCGCACCACTTGGGTTGGAGTTACACACAGGCCGGAGGCAACTATCAGGCGTCGGATAATGACACTGAAAGGCCCACTGCCACTGCAAGAAACGTCTGGAGTCGGTTATCATATCTGATGCAGTTGCTAACAAAGCCACTACGTCGGTGAAACCAAGAGACTATCCCGAACACGAATGGCGGAACACGCAGCAGCAGTGCGGAGAAATGACGCCAGCTCCCAAGTTACGGCTGACTCGACTTAATCCGGACACGCATTTAATTCCAACGAGACCGAAATTCTCGCTAGAGTTGACAACCGCGTGAGCCGCGAGCTGCCGGAGTCAAGGTTTTTTGGCCCCTAGTCTATTAACAAGTGCAGTGATCTTCCCCTTCTATTTTCGGTGTTGAGACATCGCCTAGGGGAGTAATTAGACACGCGGGAAGCGCACAGGTGAACACTGTTATTAACGCCGGGGTTGGCGGGTCAGATGGTCGAGCCATCACCACCCTGACCTTCAACACTCGTGGTGAAATTGCAGCGATAAACGACACGAATGTCGGCCATCGAACATTCCTTGCACCAAGTGCGACGATCCCGGATGAAGGGAGGAGCCGTGAATGTTCATAGGTATGCGGTAGCATGGCAACTGCATCCTATAAATACCGCAGCCCCTTGTGCGTGAACCACCCGTATCTGACAATGTCTCCGACGATGGAATCGAGCAGGAATCCGAAACATCAAGCAAATAAAGCTCTTGTTCCAGCGACCCTGTTTCCTTCGTACGTCATACTTGTTTATTTGCATTCCGTCAACTTTTGCGGTCATTAATTTGTAGCAAGTCTTGGGGAACCATAATGTAGTAGGTAGCACATGGTTTTATTCATCACACTGCCGGTGTTTGAACGCCTAATTGACAATCGTTTCTTGACGGCCAGAGCCAGCACGGCCTTATCATTATTATAAGGCGCATGCTGGGCCGTTGAATAAATTAGACAAAAAACTTTAAAGCCCTTAATGTTCAACGGAATTATCGACACCGTCAGACATGCATGTAAAGCAGTTTAGCACAGGATTTTATTTCTCCAAACGCATACTGACCTATCGCAGCTTAGAAATAAGAACGAATGATGTCTTGGGCTTTTGTTGATAAAGAGAGTGATAACGAAGGCAGAATGTCGATAGGGATAATGTGACGTACTTCAGCAACAAGTCCGATTCTGTGGTAGTTGGGCGCTAACCGATCGTTTCTACGGAACCCACTCGTCCCGTTGTGCCTTATGGGCTCTCTCTCGAGCCCAACCGGCAGCGCGTGATATAGGCAGAATGGCATTGCTAATAAAAACAAGGGAGACTGGAATGGTCATTTCTGGCTTATTAGCTTATGTCAGCCAGTCATACCCAGCCCCGAAGTGTGAAACACCTGGGGCTTGAACTCACGAACGGTTGGTTAGAAGTCCAACGCCTCTAACCACTGAGCAACAGGCTCGTTGTCCTGTAGTTTGCAGTCGGAAATATACAATGGTAGGGTGCACAATGAGACGAGTGAATTCTGTAGAAACGATCGGTGAGCGCCCCTCTACCATTGTATATTTCCGACCGCAAACTACAAGACAACGAGCTCGAGGCTCAGTGGTTAGAGGCGTTGGACTTCTAACTAACGGGTCGTGAGTTCGAGCCCAGATGTTCCACACTTCGGGCGGACGACGGCCAATAAGCCCGAAATGACCATTCCAGTTTCCCTTGTTTTTGTCGGTAATGCCATTACGACTGATGCTTCTAATGCCACTGTAGTGACGATTTTCACAATGCTTATAAGTTTGCAGTCAACGGCGACGGGGGTATATTTTTACGCCCAAGGTTCTGGATTAATTGTCAACTTCACAATAACTGAGGAGACATAAACAGAGAACGCAACGTTTACTGAATGTTTTTCTGTGCCATCGTGCCGCATCACTACGATGTGGACAGCCTTTGACTCACGTGTTTGTAACCCTTTGCCAGGTGTTTGTTCTCCTTAAAGCCGAATTCATCATCGGATCACATTGAGCGAACCGCAATTGTGTGGTTTGTGCCATTTCTCCTCTCCATCGTTACATGTGTGACTCTCCACCTTTGACAGAGACCTCTCGTCTTTCCGACGTACTTGACTTCCCTGTATCTGCAGTGAATATCGCAAAGCGTCCCATCCTGACACGATTCATTAGTAGGGGACGGGTGTTCGTCTTAAGATCGTTTGCAACCCTCACACCGATGGCATGTTAACACGATCGACAGCTACTCCAGGTTTGTGATTAATTTCCGAGGAAATTAAAAGCAACAGTTTTTACGACGTTCTCATCCCATAGGCAAATTTATCGAAACTTGGGCCTACTGGGGTCTGACCTCTCGTCACGTTTTTACATGTACCAGTCAACTAGAATGTTGTAAACCCCTGTTAATGCATTGAAATTAGACAATCAGTTGTTTGGACTCTACGAACATCGGCGCAAGCTTCAGGCGACTGATTTTGCAAAACGGCGTAGCTAGGTCAGTGACAATTAATTAAATCAGGAAGGCTTCAGAATTGCGAGTTATCAAAGTCAAATCACCTTTTTGAGATCACATCAGAAAGCTCGGAATGCTGGATACGATCTTCTGACATGTTGTTAAATCTATCTATTGTGCGCACAAGAAACTGTAATCGGCCTGCAACACTGTCAGGCCTCAGTTACCTTTGAAATGGTTCGTGTAGGTTGTCACCACAGCACCGGTTCTTTGAAATGGCGGCTTTCACATGCAGAAAAGGCACGCCCGTGCGTAAATATCTACCCCTAGTCAGTCACAAAGTGCACACACTTTCCTCCTTCTCCTAAAGTCCACCTTTCGCGTCGCACAGAAGCCGCATACAGGAATGTAAATATTAGGTTGCATGGAAAATACTCGCCGAATTCAGCAACTAACATCTTTTTCCTGAAAACTTTAACATTTCATGCGTCAGAATTAGCCAAAATATGGTCTTTGAAAGCTTACGCGTCTGAGACATCGATGAAAAAGAGTATTTTTGGTTAGATGGTAGTTGGTAGCCCTCCCGGTGCCGAAAACTCCCAGCTACCTGTCTTACGGGACCAGTGGTAATAGGGGCTATACGGGTGGGGCAAATGAGTGGAGGCGTAAATGGCGCTGGTAGTGTACGCCTGGAAATGACGCTTCTGCTAAAGTGAAAGCCTAATTTAAATAAGGTGAAAAGTGCAAGATGGGTATGGAAATGAGCATGGTTAATTAGAACGGTATGCGGAATAAATGCAGCCTTACCCCAGATTGGAAAGAATAGCAATTGAAGTTGAACAACCAATGGGAAGAAGGCGGTGTGTCTTAATGTCATTCCGCAGTATGTGCGATAGTACTCAAACAGACAGAATGGACATTAGAACACGAGAATCAAGCAGCGGCACGCAGGACGGCATAACTCAAGCGGAGTAAGACTTTAACGCCAAGAATATGTTTGGGCAGAAGAGAAAATCCGCAAATAATAGTTTATTGCCACTGTGGCCATATTTGGGATTAAAACTATGGCAGTAGTTGTGTGCTATACGTGGGTGGAGTATCGGTAGACACCCTATTTGCGCGACGGTTGTCCTTGTCGTACACGATCACCCCGGACTCTGCAGGAGGTCTGGAGTAAAAAGACCTAAGGACGCAGGCAAACCGACAAATCGGAGACCCGCGCCAATCCGCCTAGGATGGTAATGAGAAACATGATGAATCATAATGCGCCTAGGATAAATCTTTCGCCTTTTACTAAAGATTTACGTGTGGGGGGTGCAATACGATGAACCTATATAAGCATTTTTGCAGCGCCACGTTCTCGGGGCGGTTAAAGTGAACAAGAAATTCACCCTGACAGGGCTTCTGCGCGTGCACTCCCAGACATAATGAGAACGTAATCACAGCTACTGAAATCGTAGTGCCTTAAACTGGAAGTGCAGGAAAGGATCGCTAACTGGCAGGGCTACCAACCACTATCCCGCCGTATTTCTACTTCGTCGACAAAAATTAACTGGTTATGATTTTAAAAACTCATAGAATCCATCTTCCGCCTCCGTTTTGTTGCTTGAAAAAGTGTCTAGATGTTTGAAACATGGTAGTCCGCGAGTCATCGAGTTTTTGCAGTGTCATCCCGGTAACATGAATGGCTGCAATGGGTAGTCCCCACCCTTAACCCGTAAGCATTTAGGGAAAACCGCAACCTTAAGCCTAGGTCTTAACTGCGTAAGCCAAAGCCAAAAACCTTAGCCCAAACTTCCTACCCATCATTATAAACCCAAATCTTTACGTCAACCGCAAATGCAGACTACAACCTAGGCCTGTAAACCTTAGTCCTAGAAATTTTGGTGGTCAAAGATGTGAGATCTGCTTAAATCACACACGATAATCTCGTTTCGTCTTATGTCCGACGTCAGGGGGCTGTGACGACAGGTTTATTCTGTACACGGGGCAGGTTGCCGTGAGTTGGCTGTTTGACTATGACAGAGATAGGCGTCCGTTTACGGAGAGCGTCAGTCGCGGTCTCATGTACCCGGCCCGTGTTACCAATCAACGAAAGAAGTTGCATCGCTTGGCTTCGAGAGCACGTGAGGGTAGTGGCAAACCTTGCATGGTGCAGGCAGAGAATCGATCAGGAGTGCCGTGTGGACGGGATTGCAGCGAGACAGATCGAGGGTTAGTGTGTGCAGCCGTTGCGCGTATGCAGTCGAACTAGGAGGCACAGAAACGGCTGCTATAAAATAACCCAAGTCCTTATACTAACCCTAACTCCAACCGTATCCTTAACCCTAATCTTCAGCCCGATCCGTGCAACCTTAACGTTAATAACTCTAGTGAAAATCAAATACCGCGCTTCGCATGACTCATTTGCCGACCTTTTGTCAAACAAACCGTTATGAAATAGAGAATAGCGTTGTCATCAAAGACAGTGGAGACTGGAATGACCATTGCTGGTTTATTATCTCTCGACTGCCAGTCGTACCCAATCCCAGAGCGTGAAACACCCGGGGTTCGATCCCGCGGCCTGTTGGCTAGAAGTCCAACATACTAACCGCTGAACCACGGGCTCGTAGTAGGGTCGGTTGCGATCAGGTATATACAATGTGGTGAACGCTCACCGATCGCCTTGCGGGACTTACTCGTCCCGTTATACCTTGGGGCCGCATCACACCTACCCAGGTAAGATAAGATGATAATTTTTTTGAAAAACCTACCATGGGATCACATACCCTAACCCTGCATACTGTCAAAATGAAATGTCGTTCAACATATTATTGAATTTCAAGACAAATGTTTGAGAGCTTGTTTGTTGTTGGGAGTCGAGTTGAAACCATTGCATATGGAGCCACAACGAAGGAGAATCAGTTAACAGGATGAATTTGTTGACAAACATTTGGCATTTTAAAAAAATCGTGGTTAAGTGACGATGGCCAGCTTCTTGTACTTTAACCCCAAGCCTGAACAGTTTTGCAGTCTGCAATGTCAATATGGGTGTACTCCTGTAGTCCGTCGCTCTCCAAATCGCACAACTGATAAAATTATCATTCTATCCTTATATGTACAATTAACTGCCTCCTTAATCTAAATTGATCTTTAAGAACGGATGAGAAAGGTCTGCATGCATTTCCAGGGCATTTTTTCGCAATAAATGCTCGCTTTTGATTTTTCGCCTCTTCCAGCTAACTGATTAAATCACAATTATCAAGAAATCACTATTTTATTAGGATGTATTCCTCCAATTGATCACCTTTATCTGTGCAGATTTCGACGAACTGTTTCATAATGAAGCCTAAAGGAAGCCAATATTTGAAATCGTAAAAACGTGTACTATGGGTTTGTTCAGTGTGAGGTGGTTGATTCTTTCAGCTGTTGTTTGATGTACTTTGCTTAACAATAATCAGTCCCATTTCGTCGAATGCACTTTCTTTGAATGTACTCTGAAAGAAAAAAAATCGGATCATATGGGATTTTTGCATGTCTTTAATTTATTTAACGTTACAATGCCAGACTGTTAGCTGTTCACTTTTTTGAATTGTTTATTCAAGAGAGAAAATTCAATGTGATATGGAGGTTATTTATACTGTGTAATTTTCCAAATATGTCGCCCAGCTAAAAAACTGTCTAAAATCCAAAATAGAATCCGTATAGAGTCTGATTCGACTGCCTACGCAGACTTCATGTAGGAGGCTACATAAGCGATCGCTAACTGGAAAATCTCCACCCAGTATGCACACCCATCCCGCGCTCGTATGCTCCATCGAAGATCCACAAGAACGACCCAGCAGTCCGTCTAATCTTGGGCATGCGAAACTCTCCCTACCATGCGATATTCTAACAAGTAGAGCTGACGGTAGCATTCGAAGAAGTGCCTATTGAAAGGATACCTGGTTTGAGCAATATAAGAACTTCTGCGGTTTGGTATCCCTTCATTAGAAATGTAATCTAGTCGGCTGTTTGGCGCAAAGGGCTAGAAAAATCTGTTCGGCGGATAGCGCTTGTGAGGACCTTAGAAGAGAACGGGACCTGCTTCGCCAAAATGTGTATCCTGACGGATTTGTTGTAAGGGTTCTTGCCAAACGACCGGAAAAAACTCATCATACCGATGACGGAAAAGAAAACTCTCTTCCTCAAAGTCCCCTTTCAGGGGCAAATGACGACTGAACTCCTGAGAAGGCTTCTTGACCAAGCCGTTTCACGGACCTTCCCGACAGCAAGAGTTCAAGTATTGTTTTCGACAAACGTCCTCTTACGCGGGACAGGTAAGGATAGGCTACCAGTTCAGATCACCTCCATGTGCATTTACTCCATTACTTGCTCCCGTAAAGCGGGCAATATTGGTCGTGCGGGTCGGCACCAATCTCCAAGAATACGGGAACACCTGCCGGAGTGGCTGAGGGAAGCTGAAGTTACGAAAATCCACAGCTCCATCCTCGCACACATGGTTGATTCTGGGCGTTGTGAGGATCCAAACGAAACCTTCCGTGGGATTTACAGGGTTCCTCCTAACTACCCTAAGCGACTGGGTCAGCGCCTACTAACCGACTACAAAACCGACTACCATCGGGCTACAGAGGCCGGTCCTGTACGTGCAGAATAACCTCTCTCGCGCTCCGCGTCTACCTTAGCCAAAGATCGATTAACTACGTGCATGTCTCCGTGCCCCCGCACCCTTCCCTCCCCCCTTGTGACACGGCTCGACCTCACCCTCACTGTCACTGACCACCTCCTCTCCCCCCCCTACTCACACATCCCGTTTGTATGTAAAGACGGACCGTAATCGATTTCCTTATCGTTCACAGGTTTTACATTGTACCACTTCCCCATATAAATGTACAGGCCCGATGAGAATTTATCAGAAGCCGGCGCATGTTCGTCAAATGGTTTTCTGACTTTTAATTGTTTTTTTTTTTGCTAATCCCGCAAGAGTAAAACGTAATTGGGATCATCTAATAATGGTCATCAAGACATCAATACACACAGATTTTGGATTTACGTTAGTATTTGGTGTAAACCAAACTCCCTCTTCACAGCTTCTCAATATTAACCGATATGCTGCCAATTTGATGAAATCGACGTTGTAAATTTGGGGATGCAAAAAAACTTCGAAAGCACAAGACGAGAGCTGCGTGACTATAACAAACTAACCTAATGGTCATCTATTTGTTTTAGTTAAAAAGTCAACTGGCATAACTAGTATGTGCTTTTTATAATTAGCCCCAAAAACCCTGGGCAAGCCTTGTATCCATTACTGGTAAAAATGCACCCTGTCTAATTAATAAACAAGCACAATTGTGCGTGTAAATTAATATGCAAGAGTTGCTACTTAGGAGAAGGGGATAGTGAGAATTATTTAAGGAGAATGTGGCTGTCGACATGGACGGGGAGGATTGAAATAATCATTACTGCCCTATTATCCCTCATCAGCCAGCTGCACTCAACATCAGGTGCGGTTACGCAAGTCGCTCGAACTCGTGCCGTCTTGGTAACTAGTCCGGTGGCCTAATCATCAAGTCACGAGCTCGTCTTCTTGCAGGCTGCAATTGGATATATCAGTAATGGTAGTTCAGAAGACGAAGATGTGATCGCTGGAACGAGAAATTTATTGGCCTGACGTTTCGTATTCTCACCCTAAACCATCATCAGAGACAGTCACAGATAAGGGTAATGGTGGCACAAGGAGTGCAGTATTTATAGCACGTGGCTGCCGTGGGACCATATGCGCACTGTAATTAACAGCTCTCGGAATCACCTTGTGCCACCATTACCCTTATCTGCAACTGTCTCTGATGATGGATTCGAGTGAGAATCCGATGCGTCAGGCCAATAATTTTCTTGTTTCAGTGGTCACATCTTCGTCTTCTGAACTGCTACCTGGAACTCGCCTGTTCGCTTCTATCAGCAGCAATGGTAGTCTTATTCTACAAATAATACTAATAGCTGTGGGGCTTCCTGCAGGACACTAAATAGAACCCCAAACACAGCGGGCATCAGGCGGGCTTTTGAATTTGAGCCGTCATTTTTGTAGCTCTCCATTCACGTGTGGATTTTTACTAATTGTACATTATTGTGCCTTTTCTCTTCGATATATTGAACTGTTTTGCATCCTTTGTTTGTCTGAGCTAAGATTATGAGGTCGTCTCTACAGTACGCTAGCACCCTTATGAGCGGAATTAAATTGTCAATTTCACTTACGAACGATCATGATGCAAACTGTTGTACTTTACGACCAATATGTCGTATTTGTGATCGTTCTGAGTTAAATTTATCAAATATTCGTCAACAACGGCCTATGCATAGGAGAAAACACCGTTGTGGCTGGCAATTCGCATTCAAACGTCAGCCGAATCACAAATCGTCAATTCCCGCCTTCTTATCGACAAACTATCGTTCTATTTTCAACAAAACCCATGATTTGGAGCTACTTTTGTCGAAAAAAGAACACAGCAAAACTGAAGTTGTTTGCCTTCAAGAGACGTGGCTTAATAGTGACATTGATTCGCAACTTATTACACCCCCATCCTTCTACTGCTTTCGAACAGATAGAAAATCTTTATCTTGTGGCAGAGGTGGAGGCGTTGCCATTTTCGCTAATCAAAATTGGTGTAGAGACTGTAAGTCCTTTTTTCTTACTCTGATGATTTAATAGATGTCATCGCTGTTTTATGTAAGCCCAGTATGTTAAGTAATTTTAAAGGCATCATATTTGTTAGCATTTACATTCCCCCCTCTTCCTGGAAGGCGCATTAACCCGTTTTTTCGACTTCCTCTCACAAAAACTTGCTATATTATCCTGCGACTATCTTACTCTCTTAAATCTTGCAGTTCTCAGATAGCCCCTATTTTAACGCAGCTAATCAATATGTCATTCATGGAGTCCAAGATTCCCGACGCCTGGCGTACAGTGAGAATCACTCCCATCCCTAAAAAGCCTGCTAACTTTGGTCCTAAATCTTTTCGCCCAATTGCCTGCTCCTCTGCAATACTAAAGCTTGCTGAAAGAGTTGCCCTAGATATCATAAAGCCTTTTTCTTCCAGTTTTTCCGACCCCTTACAATTTGCATACAAAGCTAAACGGAGTACTTTAGATGCTGTCGCTCTTGTGGTCCACTCTGCTCTACAAGCATTAGACAAGGGTTGCCGCGAGTATGCGTGAGCTTTTCTTGATTACTCCTCCGCCTTCGATACCGTCCCGCGCCCTCTTCTCCTTTCCAAAACCTCCGTATGTGGCTCTCCAGGCTGGGTCGTCTCTTGGCTGAGCGATTATTTTACCTTCCGCACCCAATTTGTCCAATCTGGCAAGCGGAAATCTTCGACCCTTCCCAACGACTGCGGTGTTCTTCAAGGTTCCATTCTATCCCCTCACCTTTTCTCCCTCCACACTGATGATCTCAGGTCCCCTAATGACTGTCTCCTGGTCAAGTATGCTGACGATGTGGTTGTTGGACACCCTTTCAAAAGTCAGACACACCTCCGGTCTCTAAAGGATGGTCTAAACCATGTCCTAGCGTGGTCGGAGGAAAATGGTCTCCTAATTAACAACCAAAAATCCGTTCAGTGTATTTTTCGACTGCGGCCCTCTCCTAACCCTGATTCCTCTGACATCCTTCCTAACGAAGTAACCTCTTTCAGGTATCTCGGCGTTACTTTGTCCTCAAATCTTTCTTTTTCCCTCCATATTGAGTCCCTATTTATTAAAGTTCGTAAACTTCTTTACTACATGTTCTTAGACAGTCTGCCGACGTCGGTACAAACAACTTTGGCCTCTGGCTCCGACGACCTGGACATATCAAAGTTAGCGGAGATGGCTGACCGTATGATGGCGGTTGAGCGATTGTCATCCCCGACCATTGCTCAGTTGTCCCAGCCTCTCACCGTGCCCACCTCTGAATTGACTGAACTAAAGACACAGATTGCCCAGTTGTCAGCGACTTTTGCCGCTCTGCAGCTGCGCCGATCCCCCGGTCCCTCTCGACGTTCCTTCGGCCGTGACCGTCGTCGTTCCCGCTCTCGCCCCAGGACCGCCAATCTATGTTGGTATCATGTCAACTATGGCGATAAGGCGCGGCGCTGTGTCCCACCCTGCTCCTTCAAGTCCACGCAGGGAAACTCCTCGGCCGGCGAATAAATGCGGCCGAGTGGCAGGCATTTTTTAGTCGGCACTGGCGCTCAAATTAGTGTTATCCCTCCCACGCCAGCCGACCGACGTTGCCCAAACCATGGTCGTCACCCCCAAGCTTTCAACTGTTCCTCCATTCCCACTTTCGGCAGTCTGTCCCTCACGCTGAACATTGGACTTTGTCGGTCATTCACTTGGATCTTTGTGATTGCTGATGTTCCTCATGGAATCCTCGGCCCGGACTTTCTTGCCGAGTTCGATCTCCTTGTTGATTTCCGACTTGCCCGTCTCCTCGACCGCACAACCGGTTTGTTTGTTCGTGAACTAACTCCCTTTACTGCCCCCACCAACTTATCTGTCTTGGATACGGATATTGTTAGCCCCTTTCGGCAACTGCTTCTTTGTCACCCCAACATAATTAATCCCCTGTTTTGCAATGGTGAGGTTCAACATGATGTTGTGCACCATATCCGCACCTCGGGTCCTTCCGTGTTTGCTCGCCCGAGACGACTAGCACCGGAGCGTTTTCACGCCGCGAAGGCGGAGTTTAAACACATGCTGCAACTGGGAATAATTCGACCGTCCGAGAGCCCTTGGGCGTCTCCACTGCACATGGTGCCCAAGGCGACATCAGGCGACTGGAGACCCTGTGGCGACTATCGGGCCCTCAACAACGCTACCATTCCTGATCGGTACCCCGTGCCTCATCTTCAGGACTTTGCTGGAGCCCGTTCAGTACGGCGTACTGGTTATTGTGCAGTTTTAACATATAAGGCATCCACAGACAAATTTATACCAGTAACCCATGCTTTTTGTACGTAATTACTTACCTTTGACACTTGCCTTACACATTGTTTTTATGAAGTTTCCCTTAATAAATCTTATCTGATCTGATCTGAGTTCATGTTTCGGTTGTTTTCTGACTCTGACTTACTGCCAGCAACCAAGCCCAATACCCCACATCGGTACTTCTCCTAAGGTACAAAAATATGTCGCTTACGACACCCCGATTGACATTAGACGGTGTTGCATAAGCTGGAGCAAGGTGAGTTGTAATCAACGGCGCTGAGAGCACTGATCACATCGGTTACGCGCGGATAAAGCCGCTGACGCATCTATCGACTGCAAAATTATGGTATCGGACTGACAACTGTGCAAACGCGGAAGGAGACCACACGAGGGACGATCGAGTAATGAGGACCCACTCTGACTCTACACATACGTGAGGTTGCCTACTAATTGTAACTACTTCCAGTAATAAGAGACAAGAAAACAAAATGCATTTGCACGGTCCTTGAAATGTCTTCAATGCCGAGAGGGTTTCATTTGAATTTTTTATTTGAGAGTTCATTTTTTTTTAAAAAAATGAGAATAAAACGAACGTTATTTTGCAGAGGGACGTTGGGGAAGGACAGGATCTGCCGACAGTAGCGATCAAATGATTAATTATTCGGCGTCTGTACGCAACTGAGATGCAGCATCCGTCAGAGGGGGACCTGTAAATGTTCAATAAATAAGAATTTAGCAAAGCTCATTCTGGAAGTCTTAATATAAATTCGAAACTAAGAGATAAAAATGGACGCTGTTCATTTGCGTATGCGTGTATTTAAAATCATGCCTATCCTTGGGAGTTTTTTCTGCGAAAAAAAGCTGCAGAGATCACCTAGTGTATGCAAAAATCTACTTTAGTTATTTTCGATAGTTGACTAAAAACAGGCTGAACTGAACTGCAGGCAATAATATTGATTATGTCAGAGGGGCGCTCACCGACCGTTCTTACGGAAATCACTCATTCCGTTGTGCTATACGGGCTCTCTATCGAGCCCAACCAGCAGTCGCACAGCGGCGCATGATATAGGCTGTATGTTATTGTTGACAAAGCCAAGGGAGACTGTTCCACACTTCGGGGTTGGGTATGACTGGCTGACGACGGAAAATAAGCCAGAAATGGCCATTCCAGTCCCCCCTGTCTGTGTCAGCAATAACATACAACCTATATCATGCGCCGCTGTGCGACTGCTGTTTGGGCTTAAGAGAGAGCCCGTAAGGCACAACGGAACTAGTGAGTTCCGTAAGAACGAGCAGTGAGCGCCCCCTACCATTGTGTATTCCCGATCAAAACCGACGGGGCAACGGGCTCGCGGCCAAATGGTTAGAGGCGTTTGACTAATAACTAACAGGTCACGAGTGCGAGCCCCAGGTGCTCCACACTTCGGGGTTGGGTATGACTGGTTGACGACGGCTAATAAGCCAGAAATGGCCATTCCAGTCTCCCTTACCTTGTCGGTAATAACATTCCGCCAATATTGCTTATGCTTTTAGGAGCGTTAATTTATTTCACTATGATCACGGATAACTACGGCCGTGATATAAGTAATACTCTTACAAGCACAATGCACGCAAGAAATGCGGTTCAATAATGATCCAACCATTCTGTCCAGGGACTGATGGTTTGGTCAGGCATCGACGTCCATACCATCAACTTCTTGTCGCTAGGGGGCTTTGATCATGCTAACGCCGGTAGTTCTAATACGGACAATGAATCTCTAAGTGAGTCATGTCCCAACAGAGGGTTACGGCGGTTTGTCTCACATTGGTAACACATACCAAACGTGAAAACACTCCCTTCCGATGCTCTGCGAAATCTTCCGTAAAAAGCGGTGCAGTAGTAGTGGCAACTGCTCTTAGAACTTTACAAAATTGTGGAAGAGTTCCCTTGTACGTATTTTACAATGCGTGACCGATCTCATGAAGTGTTGGCCAAAATTCTGGAATGCGTTTCCGATTAGGAAGGATTACTTAAGTGGGGTTGTCATACTGATTATCATGCAGCATATTCCTATAACATTTTGAACTCGCCAGGATATCGGCTTTTGAATGCATTTCTTTCTGACCTCCTGCAGACACCACACTTGGCAAAAAATGACTGCCTAAGTTGCATGCATTTTTCTCATGGATTCTCGATGCCTTCAAATAGTTCTCATACAACGCCAGCATAAAAAATCCACTTCTTCCTTATTTGTTAGAACATTACGTCTTCTTCAAATTATATACTGAGGGAAGGGCATAAATCGGTTTTAGAAACTTTTTAATTGTGAGATTGTTTAAGACCATGAAATGCTCATTCATCAAACTTCGTCTCTCTGTATTTACTAACGTTGCTTGTAAAGTTTACAATATGGCTCAAATTCACTGCTAAATTTTATGAACCCCATATAGTCTCCTCTTAATACCATGACCCTATAACATGTCAGACTCCCCAGGATGTCGGCTTTTGAATGCACTTATTTTTGACCTCTTGAAAAAACCATACTTGGTAAAAAAATGACCACTTAGGAAGCGTGCATTTTTCCTAACGATTTTCGATGGTCTTATAAATTCAAATATGTTTCACGGAAAACATGCTCAAAATATGCTTTATTTACTCTTTTAGTAAAAAATCACATTGTCTTTTTATTTTATGCCCGCAGAAAGTGTATATTTAGGTATTGAAAAAAGTTTCTAACTGTAAAATTTTCAGGACATGCATGCAAGACCGCACATGTCCGTTTTCGAATGTTCCTCATGAAATGTACAACATAGTCCGGATCCATTGCAAAATTTCATGAAATATATGTGGTATCGTCTATAAGATATCGAGAAATATATGATTTTCCCTATGCGCAAAGCATGCACCTTGTAGACTGAAATTGCTAAACGCTGATGCAATGGTGGATCAGGCTGAAAATTATTCGGCAATTGGGAAACTTTCTTACAACCTAAATGCACACTTTCTTCGAACATAAAATCTAAAGATAATGTGATTTTCTACCAAATTATCAAAAGAAGGCGTATTTTGCGCATGTTTTCTGTAAAATATCTTTGAATTTATATGAACACTGAAAATCAATAGGAAAAATGCATGCTACTTAAGCAGTTATTTTTTACCGAGTTTGGTTTCTGCAGAAGGTCAAAAATAAATGCATGCAAAAGCCGACATCCTGGCGAGTCCAAAACGTTATATGATTATGCTGCATGATAATCAGTATAACAACCCCTTCCTAATCGGAAACGCCTTCCAGAATTGTGGACAACATTTCATAATATCGGTCACGCGAATATCCCTGCAAATATGAATGTCCACACAGTGCAAACTACTTGTTATGTAGGTGCTTCTGGGTTTGGTAACGTGAATCGCAAACAGTATCTGACTTAACTCATTAAACGTGATGGCGGCAACTCATTTGATGCTTTTCAGGCATCTGAAACATTGCGCGCTTTGTTCATTCATCCAGTCGCCTTCGAGCGAAACGTTTATAAATTTGAGCAGCAATCTGCGCTAACGTATATTCGAGTAAATTCGAACAGTAATAGCTGACCTAGATTTAGGATGCACATCCAAACGGTTTTTCTTTGATAGGATGGTAGCTTTATATTGAAAGTTTTACCAAACGAGATTTGCCCCATTTGCAGATTAATTTTCGACGGAGGAAAAACATGAAAAAATTGGTTGCAAACGCAGAAGCTATTTTTTCGAAAACCAAACGTTTTATCGATTTTTAAGTTCGGTTTACAAATCTGTGTGATTTCATGCCCTAATGTGCAGTAATAACACTTACAGGTAATCGTTTGTTTAAATATGCCGATATTGTCTTGCCAGACACGAATGCGTTATGAGTGACCGCCAAATTAACCTCTATTGGGAGCGGGGGTTGATGCTAAGAGTTGGGCTATTCTTGAGGCTACGGCTGTCAGGCTTGGGGTGCGGCTCAGATTTGGGATTGAAGCAAGTGTCGGAGTTCATAGTTAGGGTCAGCGAGTAAGTGTTGGGGTTAGGGTTAGGTTAAGGGGTTAGAGTTAAGGTTTGCTGGTTAGAGTTGAGGTTACGGTTGGGATCGAGTTTTCCCAAAAGGCTTACGGGGTAAGGATTAGGGTTACCCATTAAAGGCATGACCACGGTTAGTATTAGGGTCTTAATTAATCGCATTTTTTCAAGGGGATTACACACACTCCCCCTTCCCGCACTAATG